TTGGGGCTCCTTGATTATAAGCATGCATAAGCCGCCTCAGAACCCTGCATGGCTTGGAGTTTCAGGTTTGGGAGCTGGGACTCGAACCCTACACCCCTTGAGCCCTCTAGACGGTAAACCCTAAATGCCTCTAAACCCAAAGCCTAAACCCTAAACCCCTCAAAGCCTAAACGCTCTACCGCCCCAAAACCCTAAACACCTCGAAAGCTTCATCAGAGAAACTTCCCTACTGCTAGAACCGCTATACGGACTCTGTTCTTCCATATCCCGGAGCCTTAAACTGTCAACTAAGGTCGAGGATTTAGGGTTTAGGGGATTTCAAAACTCAACTGTAAACCTGGATCAAGTCAATGGGTATGTTCAGACATATAGTTTGAAAGGGTGTTTCATTGTCAGTCTCGACCTGGGTGAAGACAGAACTTGCGCCAGTCACATTTGACTTTGTGTGTGCTTCATGCTTCCACACACAGAACAAACACATACACACCTTGAAACCCAAGCTGCACCCGAAGTTCACCCATCCCTGTGCCGGCTTTTTCCAGCTGGTTGCGCCACTTCAGGCCTGATCCCTCCAAGCTTCAAGTGGCTTCTTGTCACTGTACACTGCACCAGGCCGGGAAGAGGGCTCGGTGTTGTTCAGCCTTGTGCTGAAACCAAGCCTCAGCAAATTGCAACCAAAGCTTCCAGCAAGTCGGGGTTCTCCTGTGGCGTCTTGTAGGGGTCTCAATCGTTGGGATGGGCTTAAGGGATATATTGGACTTTCATTGTGGCAGGAACACATAAGATGATACCTTTTCTTACCCACGAAAACCCACGCTGTCTTCTTGTGCTGCGGGCTCGGTTTGGGGTTTGGCTGCGTGGGGCGAAGCCTTCGGCCATCGCATGCAGGTCCGAACAAAAGCAACTGGACGAACGAGCCCTAAACCCTAAACCCTAAACCCTAAACTCTAAACCCTAAACCCTAAACCCTAAACTTTAAACCCTAAACCCTAAACTCTAAACCCTAAACCCTCATGGATGCCGAAGACGCCGCACTTCTGAGTTGAAGGAGGGAAGACAACCACCATGCAGCCCCAGCCTTGATCTTTTGAGTGATGTCCGAGATGAAGCCCTGAATGCATGGGCGATGCCTGCACTCTCTTCCCCTAAGGGTCCATGTATACTACCATTATGGAATTAGGTCCCCAAAACCCTAATATGAATGGTCTTTTGGGACCCAATTCCATAAGAGAGTGGTGCTTAGTAGGGAATGGGGGAATGGATCCCTATGATAGTCCCTTAGGGTCCCTTGTAGCAGTCCCTATAACCCATTCTCCCATTCCCTACTAAGCACCAGACAGTCTTCGGCTGTAGGACTCTGCTGTTTGCAGCGGAAATACAGGAAGCGTGATGATTAGAATAGGTTTCTGGAGCTACATTTCTACGATATGATAACTGCACCAAGGCAACCTAAAGGAATATCATTGATAAGTTCGTTTTCGGGCCTGTAGAAACTGTGGGGCCTCGTGTCTTGAGCACGTGCTATGCGAACGAACATCTGCAGGTCTTCAGGCCAAGACAGGGCCACGTCGCCTCCCAAACATGTGGCCAGCTGCTGGGTGAACATGACCGTAGACACTTGGTAGCATCCGACCGCCATGCGCACGGAAACTTTTTGTATTACATGTCCACGGCCGGCCCAATGCAAGAAACCCTCCACGTGAACGCTGCAACTCCAAACACTGATCCCTAGACTCCAGACCCCAAACCCTATAGACCCCCAAGGACTCATCAAAACGCCACCTACGACCTCGAACCTCTGACCTAAAGATGCAGACCCCCGACGCCAAACAGGAAACTTGCGGCCTGAACTTGCGCAGCTGCCCCAGAATGGTCGGCACGTTTGTGGGACTAACCTTCGTTGGGTTTGGGGTTGGCTTTTGGAGGTTTTGTGGTTTAGGGTTGGCTCCTGGAGGATTTAGGGTTTAGGGCTGGCTCTTGGAGGATTTAGGGTTTAGGGTTGACATCTGAACTTGGTAGGGCCCTATTCTGGGCCTTGATACGGCATTTGTAGTACTCTACACCAGGAGCCCGATCGTAGCTAGAGCTTTGGGAAGGCTGATTTCGAGTCTCGGGCTACAGAGCCGGATGCTTGGGTCTGGAGTTTGCCCATTCTGTTTTGAAGAGAATAAATGCCAATATTGTTGATGGACAAAATTCTGCATGACCCAAATATAGTATAGTACCATAAATCCCATAGTTTAGGTATATAAAGTCATGCAGGATTTTGTCCATCAACCGTAGCATCCCCTTGTAGTCCATGTATCATTAGTATAAGATACCCTAACACGCAATTCTAACTATCGCATCAGTCCACTGGTACGTAGGCTTTAGAATATCTTGCTTCGTAAGATTCCTGGGGCGGCTGGCGGTTCAAGGTGATGTCGGACAGACAAATCTTTGGGTTCAGGGCTTTGCCCGTTTTGGGCGCTCTTTCGTCGCCAGACAAGAGCATGAGGCTTCCGGGGTAAGTCCTTCTACCTTAGGGTTTAGGGTTTAGGGTTTTCATGATAAATCCTAAACCCTGAACCGTACTCAGGTTCTCTGTGTTTTTGGAGTGGGCTCAGACAAGCGAGATGCGGGGTTCCGGGCTCCGGGCCTCAAGCGAAAGCCCCATCTTGACTTAAAAACTCCTAAACGACAAGGAAAGCCACGGCGTAAGTGTGGGCTAGAGTCACTTAGGCTCGGTCGGCTCGCGAAGTATGGTGTAGATGTTAGCTTTCAGGTAGGATCGTGTCTTCTTGTTTTGTATCATTACAGGTGCATGAATCGACTCTGGGGTATAGTCTACTAAATAATCCAAGACGGAGTCCCTGCGAATTTTTGCTGCCACTTGCAGAGGCTTCCTAATTTCACCGGGGGAGTTATCGACTTAAGTGGCTGAAGGCTTGGGACTTCGGACTTCGGAAAAAGGCTACGTTCAGGGTTCAGGGTTTAAGGGCTCGGGGTGCAGGGCTTAGGTTTAGGCTTTAGGGTTCAGGGTTCAGGGTCTAGGGCAGTCTAGGGTTTAGGTTTAGGAAGGTCCCGGTCCCGGTGGCCGCTGCACAGAGTTGCTCTCCCGCGGCGAGGACCAGCATCGGAAAAGAATACATCTCCTCAAAGGCTGCACATGTTTGGAAGCTACCCTACATCCTAACTTGTTGGCTTGAGGTTTGCGCCTGCAAGCCCATCCGGGCCACTTGGCGGTGAGCCTTTCGGTTTCGCTTCTGCTTTATGGCTTTATGTCGCGCTGGGTTTAAACAGGTGGCCGTCTGCAATACTGTTGTTCTGAAGGGTTTGTAGTCTTAGGTGTTGGGCCCTCCCCGAAACCCTTGTACTGACTCGCATTGTACTACTACTGTACTACTCCTACTGCTACTTCTACTGCTACTGCTCCTGCTACTGCTACTGCTACTACTACTTCTGCTACTGCTGCTGCTACTGCTGCTACCACTACCACTACCACTACCGCTACCGCTACCGCTACCGCTACCGCTTCCGCTACCGCTACCGCTACCGCTTCTCCGCTACCGCTACCGCTGCTGCCACTGCCACTGCCACTGCCACTGCCACTGCC